ATGTATCAGGTAATGCGAAACACGAGATAACTCGTAAACAGCACAAGATAACTCGTAGTCGGCATTATAATAAAAGCTGACAATCATGAATTATCTTGTAGCTTGCAGTCAATGTGTTAAACCGGAAACGTACGATAGTGTGCGCGCATGTGCATGTGTGTGTGAGTCTAGAAGTGGTTGAAACGCTTGTGGTGACCTTGTGAAACTTCTCTTCTGCCAGCAATATTTCAGCCATGATTTTCTCTCCTCTTGACTCTGAATCATTTAACAACTATTCTCTCTCTCTATTTTTTTGTCAGGCCTTCTAACTGCATATTGTACGGGTCCAACTGGCCCTGTTCCTTGTCACGTGAAAAGAAATCCAGACTCAACTCAAAGTATCAAAGTAACGCCGAAAGAACCTGGAAGACACATTCTCCACATCAAGTATAATGATCATCACGTAATGGGTGAGTTAAAACAAGAGACCATCTTTCTCACATTTCCTTTAGATTTGCAGAAACGAAATATTGACCGAACATGGTTGGCCATATTGAAGGAAATCTTCGAGAGAAAAAATTCCTACTCGAAAATGGTAAAACCATTGTTGGCATGCCCGGATGCCAAATTCTTTATTTACACGGAAATTTACGGAAGAGACATTTTTTATGCATACAGCACACTGTGTCTGATATGGGTTCAATGTAAAATCATTTTAAAATAGTCACAATAGTCACAAAATTTGCACGCGTTAAAATTAATGGTTATTTAGGGTGACAGTTAATTTCAACTCGGAACCTCAAAAGTGTAATTTGCAGTTCAAACCCCGCGCTCAGTTTCTAATAAAAAATTCCCGAATAGTTCCATGTAGGTGTAAATGTACATGCTTAATTCGAAAATAACAAAGAAATTTTGATAAAATCTACTGTTTTGTAGTTATCGACAGTAAAAGATCGAACTCATTCGCGTCGCGGTGGGTGATGTTGAAATTAATTCTGTACCCCGTTATTTACTGTAAGTATTAAAAAATGACCTTCAAAGGGATCATGTCAAAAAATGCTTTTATTAAGCTATTTGCATAGAAAAAAAATTTTAAACTTCAAAATGAATGCTTATTTCACCGTAAGTTTTTAAAGATTTCCTTGAAGGTGATCATATCAAAAAGGCGACAAGACTTTCCAGCCGAATGCTCTAGCTCTCATCTCAGTATTCTATAAGATTGGAGCGTTTCAATTTTTTCTTGAATTTTCAATTGTTCCATACAAAGCTCTCTGAGGCTGTTCCAAGTGCTTCGATAATTACTGATACAATCATCACATTCATATTACACTCTTATTCAATTGACTAGATACAAATATTTGCTGAGTTTTCATTCTTTGTGTATTTAGCTCTAAAAAAGTTTAAAGGATAAAATCGATATAGAATTTTCCCACTTTGATATTAAGTAATTTGCAAAGAAAAACAAAACCACATTTTAAAATTTTTAAATTAATAGTTATTTTGCTGCAGCAAATATTGAAAAAGTAGCACGAAAATGATCATGTCAAAAATGCGACAGGAATTTCTAATACTAACAAGATATTTCGTCATGTAACGATCATTAGCTTTACTACGTTTCGGTCGTTGAACGCTTCGGCTTTCTTCAAGGTGATATGCGTTGGAATTTCGAACCGCAACCGTTGGAATTTCAAGACACAGCCGAGGTGAATAAAGTTTTGAGAGTTACTAAAGAGAAATAAGTGTTACTGAGAAATCCAGAAAAGGCATGACACGTGGAATTAGAACAAACTAACCCAGTGTACTAAATAAAAGGTTCGGGTCGAAATTCCAATGTATAGCACCTGAAGACAGCCGGAGCGTACAACGGCTGAAACGTCGTGAATATGACAATGAAGTCTGAATAGTGTAAATAGCTACAATACATCATCTCAGAAATATAGACAAACATATACTGGCTAAGATAGCGACGACTACAATCCATGTTGTCAAATCTTCATATATAAACTCCAGGTGATGTTTCTAAAGTAATAGATGCCACAAATATATTTTAGTCTTTTTCAAGAGTTAAAAAGCATGTTGTCGCTTTCCGGCGTGTTGTAAAAGGGAGTGAGGCTTCCAAGGATCGTGTCTCCTGTAATTTAAATCCAGGGACGTTAATCCTACTGATTATAAATCTAAAAGTTCTCCCATTATATGACAATCGTTAGTTTATAATGTTGTGATTTTATAAATATGTAGAGGTTAAGATGGCGACGACTACAGTTCTTGGCAGCTAATTCTGATTGTTTATTTTACAACAAAGATGGTTAAATTTGGTCAAATCTTATTTCTCAACATAATGACTTGTATTAGACTAGTTGACTATTACTAAAGAGTTAGACCCTCGCCGGGTGCTCCATACTTATTGCTTTGCTCACAAACCAAAAATAAAAAGAAAGGTATGTAATGTTATCGGTCCTGACCTGGCATGTAGACTTCAGTCACCCCACCACAACCAAGACGTGGCTTCCATCTCCCTGTTCTATAAATATTTTCGTGGCAGTTGTTCTAATGAGCTTTCCTCGTTGGTACCCCGATAGCATAGATTTAAGCTTACTCTTAGATTGGCAACTAGATTTCATCTTTTCCTCTTGAAATAGGTAAATGTAACCGTAAGTTCTATTCTATTCCTTTTTTCTCGCACATCTCACTTGTGGAAATCTCTTTTGATGTCTTGCTTCCCTGCGATCTATAATTTTAAAAAATCAAGTCAATGGTCATTTTCTGTTTTCCAGAACTCTGTTCTTTCATTGTCCTCAATAAAGTCTTCTCCTCTTCCACTCACAATATTCCCTTTATTCCTTAGTGGCATTATTATCTAGCTTGGAGTGAAAATATTTAAAACAAAAAATGTCAAATATATTGCATACGAATTAGAATGTATTTTATTTCTTGATTAAATATTAGGTTTCACGTAGGAAAACCATGGAAATATATCTTACCACCAATTACGTGAAGACAAAGGTTGTATAGATCTTACTTTCTAATAGTGATTTTCAAGCGTAGCATAGATTTGGCAAAAGGCCGAAAGTAATTGTTCTAGCGAGACAAGCTTGCTAACCATTACACTGCATCGAGATGCTCAAATTGTTTTCTAAGCATAGCTTAGATGTGGCAAGGCGGCGAAAACATAGGGCAGCAAGTGAGGATTGAACTTGTCGGAGTTAACTCCTCCTTAATTGTCTAAATATTTCACTAGGGGTCGCTCTCCCTACACTATAAATACTGGGCGATTCCTTTTCTCGTTCTCTTTCTACTTTGCATTTCAGCGGACACATTTAAAAATGTGATCTCTCACAGAGATCCGCGTTTTCGTCCACTTGTGGGAAAACCCCATGAAACACACATACACGTATGTACGAAATTTCACCAATATACAAACACTTTACCTTCATACACAAACACAAATGTTAATGTCTATGTCCATTGTAAAGTTCGTTGTTTAATACATATACTTGTTTATATATATATATATATATACATATATATATATATATATATATATATATATATATATATATATATATATATATATATATATAAAAAAACAGACCACGTTAAGATTCCATGTAATAAGTTATTTCACCATAACCCCTTTAACAGGGTTCTGGATCATCAGACTTTACTTCCAAAAGCTGAAATGAAAAATGAAAAGAAATTCACACGTTTTTGACGGACCTCATCAAGTATACGTAAAATTAACGAAGTGAGTAAGTGAGGTGGGAGAGAGGATATGAGTGTGTCATATGTATCATTTCAATTTCCTATTTTTAACCCCAGTGGGTCGGCTAGATGTTGCTCAAATTTAACGCGTCTCGTCTCTAGATATAGATGGCTAAGGGGTGAATGAGAAGACCGACATTAAAGGAAGAAGTTACAACAACCCCAATCAATTACACGACAGGTTTCATTCAAATTCTTAGACGCTGTTAATTCGCGTTACTTTAACGTGCATATTTGGGAGCTCTCTGGATATCATCCTCCTCGGGTCTACCCATACGGATTACCTAAGTTTGCATAAATATATATATATATATATATATATATATATATATATATATATATATATATATTGGTCTTGATTGTTTTCTTTACATCTTCGGTTGGACTCAACTTGAGTCCGCATTTTTCTTGTCGTTGGACCTTCTAGCAGGAATAAACAGCACGTGTTCCTAATTCAACAACACGCAAACCCACACGGTCCTGTACAAACTCACGGTCTAGCGAGACAAGCTTGCTAACCATTACACCATATCGAGGTGCCCAATCTTAGTGTCTGATATCTATAAAGTTGACAACTGATAAATGATTGTACTACGAAGTTGTTGTATAATAAGATACTATAAAATATCTAAGTAAAGAACAAGGTAATGGATTTGATTCTCTTAGCTACTATTTATGGAAATTGAAGAATTCTTGGCGTTTTTTCATACCTGAATTGTTGGCGTTGTTTCCCTCATCTGCTACCTTGACAACGACTGCAGTAACCATAAATATGGATACAAATAATGAACAGCTAGACTTTCGTAATGGAAGAACAAAAAACAATAACTTTGCAGGTGTTCAATGTTCTGTTTGAGACATTAATTCCATAAATAGACAGAGATGAAGTGAATTAACACTTTAGAATATTACCTTTCCCCAAAAGATTGAAAGTAATTTGCCACATAGTGAGACGACCACAACATGTTTGCATTGATTTTTAAAGGGTCATAATCTTATACATTTTACTCGTAATCTTTACTTCACTCTTTTATTTTTCATAAAGACTCTATTCTCTAAGCATCTTTAAAGCGATAGGTTTTAAAAATGAAAACAGCTAGCATTTATGTTCAATAAATTATATTTTATAGGCCGTTTCCCTTCAGAAGGTGTCCGATCATGGCCCTCCACAATTTCCTGAATTTTTATCCTTTTGTTTATGTTTTCAGTTACTCTAGGTCACCCACTATTTCTTTCTGTTTATCTTGCCTTCATTGAGCTTACGGCAATATCACGTTGAAACAGCGGTTCCCGTACGATCACTGAAGTTAAGCTGGTCAGTACATAGATGGGTGTCTCTTTGGGAATTCCAGGTACTGTAAGTTTTGTCTGGTGGTTTAATGGATAATGGCTTGGAATTGGTAATCGGAGAGCCGAGTTCTAGTTGGGTTCGTTATATTCTCTTACGCGTAAATATCCTTGGGAAAGGCATGAATCCACCTCTTTTCGCCCAGCTATGGGATAATTAATAAGACTTGTATCACTAAATCCTTATTATCTCGAAAAAACTCATGCAATCTGAAAATGTTTTCTGGCTTTAAATAACCTGAAAAGGGTTGATAAGCCGTAGAAAACGAATCAACCAATCTTGTTTTCATTATTTCCTGTGAGTGTTAAACTTTCAGGAACTTCTTTCTTCATTATATCTTCCAGAAATTTCAACTGTAATTTCCTGATTGTAAGTTTCCTTGTCGGTCCATTTATCGGGAGAAGCACATCCACATCTATGAGGAGATTATCTAGATATTCTCTGCTATGTAAGCGTTCAGCTATAACATGGAAATTCAGCTCTTCTTTTCTATATTTCTAATTACATCTATCTATCTCTTCATACATTGTTTAGTTTTTGGGTGGCACCTTTTGCTATTCCTGCGGATCTTCGGATTTTCTGTGGTCTCTTAATACCCTACCGATATAGATAAAATTTTGTATTTTCTTTTACTATTGCTTACCCAAGGTGTCACGCAAGGCAGCGAGTTTCTGGTTGTGGATGTTGTAAGGGCGTTTAGGGAAGGAGTAAAGCTGTTGTTCTTAACCTTTTGTGAGTCACGGACCTCTTTGTCCTGGATCCTTATGCCTTTCAGAGTCAGACAGACAAGCAGATACTCACAGTCTGACTGTTTTTTTCACAACACCTGTACATGCATTTCTCAATACTGCATCGTTATGCATAGTGCACATGCAGCATTTTTCAGCCAGACACACTTGAAAGAATTTGTGGTCAATTAATCCCCACCAGTATATGAGAAGATAATCAAGCTGTGATAAAATGTGGAAAATGAGAATCAACATTTTCTCTTATTGAGTGGCAAAAGATGGTTTTAATGGTAAACATGGACTTAACAGCAAGTGAAAAGACAACTAGTGGTTGGACATTTTATTTCTTTTAGTGGGAAACCATAGATAGGGACAAGGGCTGTATAGCGAATATAGTGATTTTTCAAGCGTAGCTTAGATGTGGCACCCAGTGAGGTTCCAACTCACTACTCAGTCGTAATTATTCTAGCGAGACAAGCTTGCTAACCATTACATTACCTCAAGGTACCCAAATAGTGATTTTCCAAGCGTAGCTTAAATGTGACAGAAGGCCGAAAGTATGGGGCACTCAGTGAGGATCGAACTCACTACTCAGTCGTAATTGTTCTAGCAAAACAAGCTTGCTAACAATTATACTGCCTCGAGGTGTCCAAATAGTGATTTTTCAAGCATAGTTTAGATCTGGTACAAGGCCGAAAGAAGGAGACGCCCAGTGAGGATCAAACTCATTACTCAGTCGTAATTGTTCTAGCGAGACAAGCTTGCTAACCATTACACAACCTCGAGGTGTCCCTCTATAGCGGATATAAATGTTAATTTTTATCGGAACCTCACGGACTGAGGTATTTAGTAATCTTCATAGAAAATTAAATGAAAAAATATCTTTATAGACAAATATAGAAGAAAATAATTATATTTAATGAAAAAATGGAAAATTGTTAAGTAACATTTACGCATATAATTAGGTTATGAATACAAGACATTATTATAACCAGATTAGAAGATTTACATGTCATTTACAAATTCCAAGGATTTCTCTAAACATAAAATTGATGAGACTTTTGTTTCTGGCAACAGCTTTTTGGTTCCTTCCAATTCTGAGTTTGCTCATCAGTGGTTCTTAACCATTTTTGAGATATGGACTACTTGAGTAATCAACTTCTATAAGAAGTAGACCTTTAGAGGCAGACAGACAAGCAGATACTCACAGTCTGACAGTTTTTTTACAACACGTGTACATACATTTCTCTATACTACACCCAAATGCACAGTACAAACGCATCATTTTTCAGTCAGCCACACTTGAAAGAAATTGTGGTCAATTAATCCCCACCTGTACATGAGAAGATAATCAAGCTGTGATAAAATGTGGAAAATGACAATTAACACTTGCCTTTATGTAGTGGCAAAAGATGGCAGTCGTGTATAGAATTGTAAGACACGTTTAAATGGTAAACATGAACCCAAAAGCAAGTCAAGACACAAGTCAAGACGTTTAAATGGTAAACATTAACGCAAAAGCAAGTCAAGACACAAGTCAAGACGTTTAAATGGTAAACATTAACCTAAAAGCAAGTCAAGACACACTCAGCTATAAGTCCTGGTTGGGTGAGTTTTCTTCCAAGCAGTGGCAGGATGCATTTTCTTTTAATGGGAAAGCCTTGATTGAGACAAGGGATGTATAGCGAATATAATAAACATGGACGCCAGGTTAGGAAACTCTGGAGTTGTTTATTATGAGGATATGTAGGATAGATAACAGTTGTTTAGCGTTGCAGCCCAGACCAGACACCAGGTTCGACCTCATTTTGTAGCATCTTCCAATCAAACGGTTGTGGCTTAAAAATAACTCTTTTGCCCGATCAGTAACCACAAAATAAAATCATGAGACGATTATAGTTGTAGGCAAGTTTTATTCGGTTGTAACCTTTTGCTGTAGACGAGCGTAGCAGAGTTAAGGCTAACTGAGGGTAGTTGACACGTCGAACCGTCTAACGGGCGTGTTTTCCTTGTCGCGGCGAGCGGTCTCTTCTCTCTCTATGTTCTCTCTGTATTTTGCTGCTAGGAACCACTGTCTTATATGGTACAGCTCTGGCTAAAAAAGTAATTCATCAAGAACTCAGTGTTTAGCTTCACTCAGTGATCTTTTTTGTCAGGATCATTTGACCTGGTTCTTGGGAGATCTACTCCATTAAGATGGCCTTCTTTGCCAAGATTCTGTGACGTGTTACAGGTGGGTCCTTAGTCTGGAATCGCTGAAGTTGACCCTTGACTTGAGTTAATATTGTAGTGATCTGGGAAGCATCCTATCGGGAATCCGTTTCACGTTGCAACTCTTCTGAGGGAAAAAGATGAGTGGAACTTACCCCTTACCAATGGACTATGAAAGGAACGAGGATGGGCCGTGGCATAGTGGATCCTAGCTGTGAAGGTCTAAATCGATGAAAACAAAGAATGTATTTCGCCAAAACATGCCATGAAAGTAGCAATAGATTCTTGAGAGGCTACGAACGTTTCGACTGCGGGAAAGAGGTTGAAGGGTGGAAAACTATTCATCAACCACAAAGCTATACAAACACATTTGAACTCGGTTGAGACTGGATATAGTGAGGATTGAACTGCTCCGTCCCAGATAAACCTAACTGATCCTAACGTTCTCAATGCATAGCTAATGCAGAGGCTATTTCTTTTGCTAACACTTAAGTATTCAGTCTGCTTATGGTTCATAGTGATTTTCTAAGCCTAGATTAGATGTGGCACAATGCCGAAAGTATAAAGTACCCCTCGAGTTACCCATGCTTATAGTTCATAGGTAGCCCTTTCTTCAGGCATTTACTTTACATTTCCTCTTCCTTTTTGAGTTTTTTTTTTACGGATTGGAGTTGCTTAATTTATGTCTGAATTTCTGGGATGAGAGATGAAAAGCAAGGCTTAAGAAGAGTTTGTATGAAAGGAAAAGGGCGGTAGTGGAAACAGCGGAGAAGGCCGATAGACAGGCCCGTAATGACGGAATAAAAGAGTGCGAGGCGAACGGTTAGCGACAGGGTGGGGAATTAAGAAAAGGATATCACGTACATATATATTTGCAGATAGATCACATATCCGTAGCCTATTTAGAGAGATAGACGGGCAGGGATATATATATATATATATATATATATATATATATATATATATATATATATATAGATAGATAGATAGATAGATAGATAGATAGACGAGAACAGATTGAGATGAATAGACAGACTTAGATAGATAGATAGATAGATAGATAGATAGATAGATAGATAAGAACGGACTGGAGAGATAGATAGATAGATAGATAGATAGATAGATAGATAGATAGATAGATAGATAGATATGAATACATGAACAGCAAGTTTGGTTAAGTTTATTTTGTTTTACGGCATATCAACCTCAATGGGTTATTTAATGCCGACAAAAATGTATTGCTGGTAATAATTTCATGGTGGGGTTTATTCCACTTGAATTTTCTAAAAAAAAAAAAAAAAAAAAAAACGTCGCTAGGTGGCGCTGTTTAAGCCTATAAAAAGGCATGTATTTCTCTCATAAGCCTCTTTTCACTTTTTTCCACATAGGTTTTCAGTTGTAGTCATATGTACAACCGGAACCCGATTGCGAGGCTAGCGCGCGATATTCTTTCTCTTTTTTTTTTTTTTTGACTGTTGAACTTTTTTCACACAGATGTTTATCGCACACGTTTATGTCTTGCATCCGTGTCTATCACGTACGCAAACTTCACATACACAAAAACGCACATTCTCTTACTTAGACTCAAAAAGAGTCCGCAAATATTCGTTGCGGGATGAATATTCCAGGAGACATGATTCAACCTAAACACACTAGCATCCTGTAACAAGATATACACAAAAATAAATGGCGTCAGTCTCAATAGATTGTTAACAATATTTGTGTATGCATCAGGAATTTTATAGATTATTATATTATATTTCAGTGAATTTTTGCTTTCAAAATTATAGTTTAGATTCTGATATCTGTATATATTTCTGAGATGAGGTATTATGTACATTATCTACATTATTCGGACTACTGTCGACATATTTATTACAATGTTTCGACCGAATGTCGAACTGAACCCTTTATTTCGCTCACTGGTGTAGACTGTTCTAGTTCCACGTGTCATGTTTAATGGATGCCAGTTATCACTTATCTCCTGTTAATTCCCCTCTCCAAGTTCTCCACTGCCTTAACCGGCTATTGAACTCACGCTCTTTGGCTCCTGTCACTGGATCTAACCGACGCC